GAGAGAGAGAGAGAGAGAGAGAGAGAGAGAGAGAGAGAGAGAGAGAGAGAGAGAGAGAGAGAGAGAGAGAGAGATTGGGGCAGAGAGGGAGTGAAAGAAAGAGAGAGACAAAGGAGTGGAGTGGAAGAATAGAGGGTGAAAAGTGCAGAGGGAGAAAAACGGTGCCAAATGCGCGCGGTGGAGGGTTTTTTCTCCCCAGTGGCGACAAACGGTGAAATAATATCGACGATAAACACCGCGATAACCACAGAGAACAGAACGATACGATAAATCGGTGCTGTGCGAACATTTCGACCCAATACCATATACGAGAATGTGCACGATCAATTGTTGCGTACAAATACACACAGTGCGCAAAATGCGCGTCCCACCGCCGAACGTTTGCGCAACGAATTATTCGCGCGATCATTTGCATAATGCCTCGTGTGTTTATGCGTCCGCGAACAAATTATTGCTTGATCGCGATTAATAATCGAAGGGTCGAGCGAACGAAGGATATATCCGTGCATGTCGTACAGTAGCAAAAATTCACTTGCGCAAAAGGGTCTGTCATTTCTCATTTGAAGTATTTCACGTGTAATTACACGCACCAGATTTCAAAATTAATGAGCCAACTGTCAATTATATAGCTATGCGATAATTATACTCCATAAAGACACGAATTTTTTATCACAACTTGTTTTCGTCCTCGTTCCCTTCAATTCGGTTCGCATTAATAATCGTGTATTTTTCCTTCTCTTCTCTGGCAAACGTTCGGAATCAAGTGAGACTAATTCTTCCCGGTGCGAGGCTGAATGGATAGGTGGCATACGAATTTTCGTGACGCAGGGTAAAGGAAAAAAAGAAAGTGTGAACGGAAGAAAGAAACGAGGAGCGAGCGTCGCAACGGGGAGCTGGTGCCAAGGGATTAGTGGCGCTCGGGACCAAATAAGAGAGAAAAATAACTGAAAAACGTGTCAGTGCAGATATGCGTGTGCTGGGTGAAGTGAACGTGACTCGGTGCTCCAAATTGAACTACGAGATTGCTGCTGCTGCTGCTGCTGCTGCTGCTGCTGCTGTTGCTGTTGCTGCTGCTGCTGGCTCGTCTAACTCGCTGGCTCAAGACGGAATAGTGCTATATGCGAAGCCGAATTTCGTAAAGTGCCTGTTGACCCTCGCATGCAATACATCCTTCATTCTACGCTACTGCGATCGTATTGAACGCGACAAACGGACCTCGTATCGATCGCGCCGATCGGCGCTCGATCATTGTTCGATTTCGTTTTCTTCATCGTTCGGATATGTTGAGAACGAGACACGATGATTAGTAACAATAAGTGAACATGAAACTTTGAATCAGTAAACGGAATTAAATAACTTTAAAAATTTGTCGGATCATCGATAACTTTGTTGACTATACGGAAAGAACAACTCTGTTAGTGTAATTGAATTTTCTGTTACTTAAATTTGGACCAGATGAAAAACTCGCTTGTCGGAACAGAATTATTCCTGTAAGAATGTTTCTACTCAGCCAAGTGCTCTCAGTCAGTTATCTCAACTGAATTTTAACGCAGCTGAATGCTCAGACGAATATTTTCGGTCACAGTAAACAACAAAGATATAATTTCTAGTCGGCGAGTGTTTCTTCTGATCCCCATTTCGTTATTTGGATTAAAATCTTTATTTGTGTACAAAGATGAGCCATTTAAGAAATACAAAACCAGATAATTTTCTAAAAGATGGTAAAAAGTGCTGGATATCGATAACAAATAGATTTCGTTATTATTAATAAAATAAATATAGCAGAAATCGGATAAACTTTCGCAAGCCTCCGGCGACGTAACTTCTTTATATCCCACCTAATATCGGAGTTGTTCGCTGATAACCATAAAAACGGCTCATATTATTCTTGTACTATGATATTATTATTTCTGTATTACGACCTTTTATCCTTGCGTTCTACATATTTATATTCTATGCATATTTTTGTATCTCATATATCGTGTCTCGTTTCCTACATCAGCGGTCCTCAACATAACGTCAGTTGACGTGTGTGCTCGCGTCTTTCCATTTTTCTGTATAATCCGACAACTGACTGTTACCCGAGCACTGTTGAAGCATAAATTCGAGAACGCGTTGCTATTCTCGCCACGTTTTTCAGTCCCGGCTATCAATGGGTTGGGTACCCCTGCGTTAGACACCCGCGGAATTAATGCGTCCGAGGCAGTGTGCGATCGCAGTACTTAATTATCGCGACAAGGGGGAGAGGTGCGAGTTGGACGGTGCGCTCGTGTTAGATACATATCTAGATAGAAAATGTACGGTGACCGTGGGGATGAAACGCTATATTATGCTGTGCTCAAGTGCGTTGGTGCGACGGGTTGTTGGCTGGGCGGCGGCGGCGGCTGCTGCTGCTGCTGCTGCTGCGTCATTTCGCGCGTATCGTCTCGAAAAAAGGACTCTAGAGCTGCGTTTATCCGGACGGCGCCGTCGCCCGTTTATCCGGATGGCGAATTGTTCCGTGCATATCCTATATATCCGAGTAAAACACGCGCGGAAGAATTCCGGCCGCGACTCTCGCGAATTTAATGAGCGAATCTCACGTAGAATACTGTCGCGGGAAAATCTTGTTCGTCACGCACAGAATACTGAAACATTGAAGTGAAGTCGAGGACGCTCCACTTCTGTTCTGAAAATTTTCATACGCGCGTACATTATTCACAAGAGAGAGAGAGAGAGAGAGTTCTGACAAACCGTCGAGAAATTTAGCGTCAGGTTATCACAAGTTATTAAGAGTGATTTTACATTAAATTAAATTATTAAATATAATAAGTAATATCGGATTTTTCAGGTAAAACGAAACAATGGCGTCTTTATCGTTATAATTTCGTGAAGCAATGTACGCGACAGAAGATCAAAATGAAGCATAAACTGTTTCACAGAATCCTAACGACATAAAAATACAATCATTTCATTCTATTTTACCTGAGAGATCCGAGATTATTTGTTACACAACCCGCTACTGAAGTCAGCGATGCTTCTCCCTTCTAGCACATCGCGCCAAGTCGTCATAATTTAATAATCACTTCGTCCCGAAGCCGAGCCAATGCAACTTTATCTACTTCATTTCCCAGACCTGTGCTCCCATTTCCCACGGGACGTCCCACGCGTTCCAGTTAATTACGCCGCGCAATATCGGCTAATTAGATCACGATTATTACGCCGCAGGCGGTTGGCCGCGGGCGGTTGTGTCGGCGAGACGCGATTTGCTTGGGCGATCCGCGGGATTCGGCGCAATTTTTACCGGCGCGATTATCAGTCGCACACGCGGCTCCAACAATAACGCGCGCGGAGGCACCGCTTAACGGCGTGTGTGCCATAACTCACGTAGGGAACGGATATTACTTTCGGGCACAAAGCTAGAGAGACCGCGTCGCCGCGTTCGAATTCCGCGCGCGCGCGCGCGCGGACGAACACGATCGACGTCCTCGTCGATGCCCGGATATCCGCTCGGCTACAAAATCCGAGCGTCGCCCGCAGCCCTAGTGTGACTCGCATCATGCTACTTTCCGACAGACGGCTGCGGTGGCTGCTGCTGCTGCTGCGGCTGCGGCTGCGCTTACGTGACGGCGATACAGCGGCCACGGGTGAATGGGATCGGAGGGGTGACTCGGCATTCAAATCGACAACCTTCCATTTTTGTATCGCCCTCGCTTGCTGATCGCCAGGAAATTAATATCACGCTCTATCGCTACGATTTATCTAAATCACGCCTTTTTCAACTTCCACAGTTCCGCCAGATAGCGGATGACAGAGGTTGCGGTCAGACATCGTTGATTACTTTGCGTCAGCACGTCGCGGGATAAAGTTGCATATACACCCATTATATTTTCAACTTAACGGTCACACAAATTACAAATCCCGACACAATTGTTATTTTGGATCTGTTTTCGATAAGAGCAAGTAATTTCAACAATTGAGTGGGATACATTCTGCTATGTGTTACCTCTACTCTGACTTTGCACCACAAGTTCGCTAGAAATTTAAAATAGCACAATTTTGTTTGTAAGCTCGAGTGAGTATTTTGGCCAATTACTTTGATATTATCCCTCTTTATCTTAGAATTTACACGATTGGATCCGGAATTTCGACTCGCTTCGATCCCATCATCGCCCGCCGTCACTGTACCGTCGTAAAGACAATGGTGCGCTGCCAGGTGCAAAACAGTGACGTGTGAGAGATAGAGAAAAAAAGACGAGACACAGACTCGGTGCGTTCCGCGGTAGCTGGCTCTCTACTTTACCACGAACGATCAACTCGGCCGTCCAGAGGACCTCGGCCACCGAATTGCGCGCCAGGCAAGTATAGTTGCCGGTGTGCGCGGCGGTGACGCGCTCGATAACTATGGCGCTGGAATGGGCGTCAATGTTGGTTACGCGCAGCCCAGGTGGTGTCTGCGAGTGTCGGGGATCGTTAACGGCCGCGGCGGCGGCGGCGGCGGCGGCAGCGGGGCCGAAGGCGGCGGCCGCCGTGCCAGGGGCGGAAATCGGCTCGCCGTCCTTCGACCAGATGATCGTGAACGGCGGATCGCCCTTCTCGACCATGCAGGTCACCTGGGCCCGCAGGCCCTCCGACAGGTCCTTCTTAAAGCTAAAGGGAGCTATCGTGGGTGGAACTGCACAAAAAAGAGAAAGAAACATGGTGACTGTGAGTGTGAATGGTGTGTATGCGCGTACGTGTGGCTTCGCCTCGTGTGACCTCGACGACGGGCGATCGACCCTGATGACAGCTCTTGCAGCCTCGGAGTTTCCTCCACCTTGGAGGACGTCCACTTAGAGTCCTGGAATTTTCCTGCAGCGACACGCAGGTTGCTCTCGTGAAATCGCGAGAGTCAGCTCACGGTAGTGAGTGATGGGTGGATGCATATATCTCGCATATGCAAAATCAAACTTGTCCGTCGCCGTTCTCGCCGACTGGACCGCACACAGTTGGCCCGCGCGTCGGAGAAACACGTCGCCGCGCGAAATTGTCGCGATAGTAGTTTGATTCTTCGAGGTAAGTTCGTGAACCGGCTAACAACGGCGGAATTCGGGGGCAAGTTTAGCCGGATGTTTGGCTCGAGAAGTCTACGTCTCGGGGATTTAACCGATCCCCCGAGAGATTTTTGGAACCCGCTAAAGTCTGGTCGTACGATGCGCGAAACGTGGCAGTTATCGTTGACGACGTTTTACACCATGAGTACCCCCGAGGGCGACCATCTGCTGCATCGCCGATGCGCTCGGGTTACTTCGTGTCATCGCAGGCGAAAATGTAACGTCGGTCATTAAAGTAGTCATTAAGGCAGTCGTGCATACTTCGTGCGCGACGCTTCAGCATGTGGTCGCCGTATCGCGCCGGTTTAATTGTCTCCCCGACGACACGCCGCGTTGTTATGTCGTCACGTTTGTAGTGTAGTCGCATAAGTGTGTTTGTATTGAAAATAAACCAATATTGAGAATGAAAAAGAAAGCACGGAGTTAAAACAAAGCGCGTCCGGAAATATTATTCCGTTCACGCCGAACGCGCCGCGTGCAACCGTGCGCGAGCAATTCTCGACTTACGGTAC